ACACCATGAATAATAAAAAAATATGTGACTTCCCAACTAGGCTTCTCTCTTGAAATGTAGTAAAAAATCAGCTCATGCATTAACCCCGAGATGAAAAACGTCGCGAGCACCGCGGGAAGTGGGGCCCACTTCCTCGGGATTCGGTCCAACATCAATGACCGAACAGGGTCGTAGACGGTTGGACGAAGTATATTGGTTACCATGAGGTTCCATCTCTTGCCCCAGAAATCCTGAAGTGAGCGAGTCTTGTAAGGTTCATCGAAAGGTGGTTCGAGTTCGACTCGGCTCGCAACTCGAACCATAGTACTAACCATGGTTAATAAGATTTCTAGGAAAAAGTAAATGTGGAGGCAATAACAAAAGAGAAGGAGTTTTGGATGTAAATTGTGTTTATAATTATACACCCTAATCAAAGTGGCTAGAAGTGTAATCTTGGTAACAAGATTGATCAGAGTTGAATTTGTGGTCTTTTTTGTGGTTTCAACATTATCACTAGTTGAATATTTTTGATATTTTATAGGCAAACAAGCTAAGGGAATGAATGTTGAAAGTGGTAGAGGTGGGATTGATGACAACGGTCCTTTACCAAAGGCAAAAAGAAGAATCTTGAAATTGGCTAGCCATGCAATGAAGAAAGAAGTAGTGCCACCAAGATTGATAGAGGTAAGATAAAGAGGAAGAATGAAAAATAGACAAACAATTGGAACTATGGCCACAAATCTTGATTTGCCATTTGGAAAGAATTTGACAATTGTGTGAGAATAACATAAACTTATTAAAACAATAGTCCATACCACTATGAAATTGTGGATCTCCCCTTCCATTTCTTCTCCTTCTTCTTCTTGGAAAAATATGGCTTTAACTAAGAGATAATTTTAGAAATAAAAAATGTAGTGATGATGGACCTAGGGGACATATGGAAGTGGGGTGGGTGGGGATATTTTATTGCACTTGATGAAAGAGATCTTGTATAATATAAAATAATCTATTCTTTTTATACTAATAATAATTTAATGAAATCAAATTATTTAAAAATCCAATTATACATATAGGTAATATCTTCTATGGAATTAACTTTTATCATTATAATGGTGTAAAGAATTTTTACATTATTAGTATATTTTTATTTAACATGTTGTAAAAAAATATTTGATTAAACACGCTATTATAAAAGTGGCTAAGTTGAATTATATATTTTAAATTTTGAATTCGTTTTTGTTTCATCCCAACTTCTTTTTAATCATGGAAATCTTGTGAAATCTTTATCACAAGTATTTTGTGATAATCAGACAAACAAATTAAAAAACGGAGTATTTTTTTCTTGCCATTAATTTTTTTGAACTTTTTTGTTGGGTCCAAATAGCAGTGTGCAATAAAAGCAATGTTAGTCAAATTTGGAAGTCTGTTCTTCACCTACATTTGGAATCCTCTCTCTTTTCTTGAATATTGGCCCCAAGTGTCACGTTCATCAAAGCTTATAACATTTTGTTTTTGTTTGTCTCATTTTAATAAACATAAAATTAAAAAAAAAATGAAAAGAAATTGAATTTTATAGTCTTGAACTAATAAATTTGTACCAATATTTCCTTTGATAGTTGAAATTAATAGAATTTTCCATCTAGATGTTATTAAAGTTAAATTTGCATCGAAAGATCTCGATTTAATACAATATAATAGTCCATACAACAACGAAATTGTGAATCTTCCTTTCAATTTCTTTCTTCTTGCAAGATGATTCCAATAAAAAAAACATTAATAGAGCATTTTTGCTATTTATGATACAACATATTTTGTTGTGTGGTGAATATAGAAGACATATGGAAGTGGGGCCGGAGAGAAGGTTCACCTCTAATTCGTGTTAGTGTGTCCGCATCCTTTTGAGTGAATGAGAAAAAGAGAATTTTTTTAAGCAACTCTAATGAAATAGTTTTTCATTGCCTTACTAAACAAAAGAAATCTCTATCAAACTAGTCATTTTATTGAAATATCAAAATTGTGTTCGGGCATAAAGCAATAATCTAGCCATATGTAAATTCCAATGTTTATTCCCTTAGGCTTAAGCTAACTCCGCCCCTATTTAGAAGTTGGGTTTTACCGAAGTCTAAAATTAGGCTTTGGCATAGCGCAACTCTTAGACACGAAAGTATAAAAAAGCAACAACGCCAACAAGTTTAGTCTGAAGTTTGTCAAAATTGACCAAATTTTAAATAATTTTAAAAATCGAATATATAAGAGGGGTGCTAGTGCTATCCACGACTATCTCGTGTCATTCCTTTCATTTTCAAGTATTCCAATTTAATATTGAAAGCATAACTTATTTATTTTTTACAACAAATTGAACAATTATTCTTTATATTTTATTTTCCAAGTCTTTAAAACTGGGATCTGATGTTATCTATAGAGCATGGACTTTTTAGATTCAAATGTTTGACATTTAAACTAATAACATATGTTACATCCATTACTTGTTTGATATATAAGAGATTATATATGTATAGTTGGATATTTTAATAATCTCAATAATGACATGCTTGTTTGCGACGAAGTCACATAGATTAAATGGTAATTAGTTGAATATTCTTTATCGAAGGTATATAGAAAATTTTATTGCTTATATAGGTTAAAATTACTTTTTATATAATAATTTAAGTCTTGAACACTATCCGTCAAAAAATTTGGCGTCATCATTGATCATCTTGATCTTGTGCAATACAATCAGACTTCTCTATAAGTGTCATTCTTTATAATAACAATGACGATTTCTTTAGAATCAACTTTCATATTATGTTATATTATATGTTTTCTATAATTAACTATAAAAATATTTGAATAAATGATGTGATTATAGAGAAGTTTCATTGTATATATTTCTTAATTAATAATCATATGATGACTAATCTTATGTGACATCAAAATATTCCTTGCCTCCCTATGTTGACAATCATAACATATTATTTTTTTCTAATTAGAAACAAAAAAGGTTATCTTTAAATTCAAGCCATCTTTCAAGAAGTAGAAGAAATTAACAAAGAAATGGAAGGGGAAATCCACAATTTCATTGTAATATGGACTATTGTCTTAACAAGTTTATGTTATTCTCACACAATTGTCAAATTCTTTCCAAATGGAAAATCAAGATTTGTGGCTATAATTCCAATTGTTTGTCTATTTTTCATTCTTCCTCTTTATCTTACTTCTATCAATCTTGGTGCCATTACTTCTTTTTTCATTGCATGGCTAGCCACTTTCAAGCTAATTCTTTTTTCTTTTGGTAAAGGCCCTTTGTCATCAATCCCACCTCTTTCACTTTTAACATTTATTCCATTGGCTTGTTTGCCTATAAAGTTTCAAACACCATCAACTAATACCACTCAAAGGGGTACAAAATCAACTTTAAATGTTGTTATCAACATTGCACTTCTAGCCATTTTGATATGGGTGTATACCTTTAAAGCCCATTTACATCCAAATATTATTCTCCTTTTATATTGTTTCCACATTTATTTCTCCCTAGAAATAATCTTGACCATGGTTAGCACCATGGTACGAGTCGTAAGTCAAGTCGAGCTCGAGCCACCCTTTGATGAGCCTTACAAAACTAGCTCGCTTCAAGATTTCTGGGGTAAAAGGTGGAACCTCATGGTAACTAAACTTCTCCATATGACCGTTTACGTTCCTGTCCGGTCGATGATGACGGACAGGATCTCGAGGAAGTGGGCCCCACTTCCTGCGGTGATCGCGACGTTCTTCGTCTCGGGGATAATGCATGAGCTGATTTTCTACAACATTGGAAGACTAAAGCCTAGTGGAGAAGTCACATGCTTCTTTATCATTAATGGGGTGGCTTTGACAATAGAAATTGTGATCAAGAAATTGTTGAATGGCAAAGTTTTGGTTCCTAAAATTATCTCAGGACCATTAGCAATAGGATTTATAATTTTGACAAGTTTTTGGTTGTTTTTTCCACCTTTTTTGAGGGGTAAAGCAGAAATTAAAGCATGTACTGAATTTATTGCTTTCTTAGAATTTGCCAAGTATGGTAACCTAGTTAGTCCTACCAATATCACATGTCCACTAGTAATATAGTCTATAAGACTACTACTAGTCATGCTTGAATAAAAATACATGTCTCTTTATCTTAATAAGGTAGTAGTAAGGTGTGCATACACTTAATTCTTTCAGACCTGGTAGAATTTCACTGAATATGTTATTATTGTCATTTGACTTTAAAAAAAACAATCAAATGTTACTCTCATTTGATATCTAGGCAAATAGAGCCAGAATTTGCACTAAGAAGGTTCAAAATATGAAGAAATAAATGTACAAAGAAGTAGAAGGGGTTTTCTCTGTATCCCTAAACAATGTCCTATATACACATAAAAAATCATTTTAACGATATATAAAAAGTGCAATTTTTCATTCAAAGTTTTTTTTCGAACCCTATTGACCCTACCTAGCTCCGTATGTAGGCCCAATGCCACTATTAACCCGCTTAGTAGCTTATAAACTAAAATGAACTTAAATCCACCTGATGCGTTTTATGCTTTGTTTTCTTTTTAACACAGTCCCTTGGTTTGTTTGCCTAAAAAGTTTCAAATATCATCAACTAAAACCATTCAAAAGAGTACAAAATCATCAACTCTAAATCTTGTTACCAAGATTGCACTCCTAACCATTTTGATAAGAGTGTTTAACTATAAAACCCATTTGAATCCAAATAGTTAATCTCTTTTTAAGCCGCCCTTTGATAAACCTTACAACTTACAAGACTAGCTCGCTTCAAGATGTCTAGGGTAAAGAGTAGGGAACCTCATGATAACCGGCCTACTCCATACGACATGTTTGAATCTCCAAATTCAAAAGGTGTCATATAAATAAGAATAGGGGAATATTGTCTTATGTTAATTGTATGTGTTGAGATTGATAAAAATCAATCAAATGATCCTTTAAGCGGGGTCATTTAGTTTAGATACAAGTTATGCTAGAATTGATTAGTATAATGCGAGATTAATTAATAATACTTCAATTAGATGAATGTTTTACAATGTACTCTATGGTACATGAATAAGAACCCACAGGGTGGCTAAATCAGCCAGTACATGACCTATATCCAAGTCGTTCCTCAGCCCGTTTTGGCCCGTTCAAATGTAATTCAGCACGCCCATTTGACACGCCTACTTGATGAATTATCTCGAAAATGTTGAATTCACAGCCCTAGTGACATCCTTAAAGAATGCACCAATTGCTTCATACTCTGCAAATGCTCTAACATCAGAATTACACCTTAACAATTGTGGAAAAAACAGCCAGAAACCCGTGATCATAACGAATCCAATGGTCAAGATTGTCCCGATAATCCGTGGTAGCTTAAATCTACCGTTAATCACCTTCTTAGCATAAATCTCGACGTTTAAACACACCCCATGAAGCAAAAAGAACCAAGTGATCTCCCAAGTGGGCTTAACCCGGCCCAAATAGTAAAATATTAGCTCATGCATTAGGCCCGAAACAGCGAATGTAGCCATCACCGCGGGAATTGGGGCCCACTTCCGGCCCAAAATGTTCGCGGATAGGCTTAGAACGGGCTTGTATATAGTGGGCCTAAGGATACGAGTGACGATGAGATTCCAACGCTGGCCCCAAAAATCTTGTAGTGAAGTTGATAAATACGGTTCGTTGAACTGTGGTTCGAGCTGAAGCCCGAGAATCCCGCGGGCCAAGCCCGAAACAATAGCTAGAATAATATCTAAGCTAAGGTAAATGTGGAAGCAATAGATGACCATAATGATATAGGGATGTATATAATCACTATAGTCATAAACTCTAATAATTAAAGCAAAAAGAAGTGTCTTTATGCCATAATTTAACATTTGGCCTTTGTTGGAGATTGCAAAAGAGGGAAATGGAGTTTCTTGAAAATGGCCATTTTGTGCAAACTCCTTTCCATTTTGCACAATAGAACCATTTTCAACTAACTTTTTAGATGGGGTTTCATAAAAATATCCATCTTGATAAGGGTTGTTTTCAATTTTATCATCTGAGTTTGGAAATTGAGTTTCTTGAAAATGGTCATTTTTTGCAAAATTCTTTTTTTCAGATGAATTTAGAGAAGGGGTTTCTTGAAAATGACTATTTTGATGAAATTTATCTCTATTAACCTCATTTTCCACATAAAGTTGAGATTTTTGTTGAATCTTGATAGGTAAACAAGCAAGAAATACAAATTTAATAATAGAAAGTGAAGAATCAGAAAGTGGACCTTGGTCAAAAGCAAGTAAAATAAGTTTAAAATTACAAAGCCAAGAAATGAAAAAACCAGTGTTACCACAAAGATGAACAGAATTAATTTTAAGTGGAACATAAAGGAAAAAAAATATCACAGGTAAAAAAGAAAAGAGCCTAAATGAACCTTTTGGAAGAATTTTAGATGATAAATAGCAATAACAAAGTGATACATAAATTAATAACCATACCTTAACAAAACTTTCAATTTCTCCTTCTATCCAATATTTGATAACATCCTTGATATTTCCCTCCATAATATAACTTTGTTATTTATTTGTATAATAAAAAAAATTATTTCTTTTTATTGATTTTGGTTTGGGATGAACAATTGTGAAGAAGTTAAAAAGATGGAGAACACAAAAAGTTGTGCTATGAAGAAGACAGGTGACAAAATTCTGGATCTACTCCAACTTATTTTAATCAAGTCCACAAAATTATACTATACAGGAAAACCAATTGATATTTGACACGTCATCTTAGAAATTAAGTAAACATCTTAGTATATAAAAATAAAAATCTCTTATCGATAAAAATGAAGATCTCTTACGTATAAAAAACAAATTTAGGAAGCTCAAATCAAATACATTTTAATAACTCAAGATTCATATTAGAAAATGAATTTGAGGAGAAGACGGAGCAATCTACATCTCGATCATCCAATTCACTCTAACATACCATTAATAGTTGAAGTTTTATTTTTCATAGTTATTGATCAATAAATATTCTAGTTGTAATTAAAGAATAATTAGTTGAAATTTGATAATGAATTCATGACAATTGGGCAGTGGATTAATAATTTAAAAATTGCAACTGTTTTCATGTCTTATTATTTTAAAATAACCAGCCAGTTTTGAATATGTTAATATCTTCAAGTCAACATTCAAACATGGAATGCTTCTTTGTAAAGGAATTGTTTAGATCATTTTAATTAAACTAATATAAGTAATATTATCTGCACCAAATAAGAATTGTAAAATGGAAATAGATAAGTTGACTAGTATTTTGAAGTTTGTGGGTAGTATTTTTTATTTTTATCAAGAGCTTTTGGGTTCAAACTTTATTTACAAATCTTCAAAATGAGACTTCTCAATTAAAATTTAGATGAGTTGGATCTCAAAATAAATTCCACCCTCTATTGATCCACAACTCTCACATGTCACAACAAGTCAAAATTTCTGTATTACAAAATATAAAATCATCAAATTGCTTGATATTCCAGCAAAGAATTTGTCAACGCCCACCACCAATATTTTTGGAGATTTTCCAAGATTCTTACATATTTTAAAGGGATCTTCACCCAAATAATCGGTCAGAATCATTATTTACTTCTTTTTTTTACATATATATATATATATATATATATATATATAATTTCTACTGGCGGACTATTTTTAATTAAACGACTATTTAAGTTAATTCCTCATTCCTCCTTATCCTCTATTTTAGTTGGTGGTGAACTATCAACTTCAATCCTTTCTTTGGGACCATTTTTTTCTGCCAAATCTTTTCTTTTGGTCTCCTCTAAAATATTTTGTTAGAGTGTTTTAAATTTTGAACATTTAAAATTTATCTTTTATAATTGAGAAATTTTTGAAGGTCAGTTGGCACACAATTAGAAATTTGGTGGATAATGGCCCATTCGTTTACCTTTTTCCACTTAAGAATTAGGATTTTATCATTATTAGTGTTCGAGTCTATGGCATACGCCTAACTCATACATCACGTGTTGGGCTCTTCTACCCTTCTTCACTATACAAGGCTTTTTGTTTTCATTTGGTTTCCCCAAAAGTGTTTTGCCTAAACAAAGTGCAATCCTCGGAGGATAATGGATCCATCCGTCCTCTTTTTCGCTTAAATACCATACATTTTTATTTACAATAAGGTTTGAATCCATGACGTGCCCAATTTCTGACACATTACGTGATGCGCTCTTATCACTAAAGCAAAGCCCCAGATGCCGATGTGAAACTCTTAAGGGTCGTTTGGTACCTGGGATAAGGCATCTCAGGATAAAATTTGGAATTAACTTTATCCCATATTTGATTTAAGGTATTAGCTAATCCTGGGATTGTTTTATCTCGATATTTGTAAACAATATGATTACTATCCCATATAGAAGGCGGGATAACGATATCCCATGATTTAAGGTATTAGCTAATCCAGGGATTGTGGCGACTGTTAATTGTTTTAGTAGCGGTTATGGTTGCCACTAATACTTACTTTTAGCGGCGACTTTTATTTGTTGTAGTGGCGGTTTTAGTTGCCACTAATATTTACTTGTAGCGGCGACTATTATTTGTTTTAGTGGCGGTTTTAGTTGCCACTAATACTTACTTTTAGCGGCAACTTTTATTTGTTTTAGTGGAGATTATAGTTGCCACTAATACATACTGTTAGTGGCGACTTTTATTTGTTTTAGTGGCGACTATAGTTGCCACTAATACTTGATTTTAGCGGCAATTTTTGTAGGAATTAGTGGTGGTTTTAGTTGCCACTAATACTTGCTTTTAGCGGCGACTTTTATAGGAATTATTGGCGTGGATAGCAGAGATGGCTGAATTTGTCAAAAGCTTGGATCAGAAGCATCTCGTGACCATTGGACTTGAGGGCTTTTATGGTGTGGAGAAAGCTGGAAACGTTGGATTGAACCCAGGGAAATGGGCTGCATCACTTGGAGTGGACTTCATTGAGAACTCGGATATAGAAAACTTTGATTTTACTTCCATTCACATACCCCCACAGTTGGTTAGTCAAGCAGAGTAAATTTATTCCAAATCAGATACATTTTTATAGTAGCATATGTAGAAGTTTAAGCTCATATGTGTTTTTAACTGCCTTCTTCGATTCTGTTAAAAGATGTTCTCTTGCAGGATCAAAGGTGGAATAAATTCAGACGCGCGAGTAGATTTTCTATCTCATTGGGTTGATTCTCACATTAGTGAAGCTGAAAAGATTCTTAAGAAACCTGTTCTCTTCACAAAAGTTGGTTTTCCTTCGAGTATACAAAAGAATGGATTATACGTTAGAAATATTTTTCTAAAAATAGTTTATGACAAGATTTATGAGTTAGCAAAGAAGAGGAAAGGTGGTGCAGGAGCCTTAGTTTGGCAGCTATTGGTGGAAGGAATGGAACAATACGGTGATCAGTTCTCGTTTATAGCTTGGAAGCATCCCTCTACTTATAAACTGATGGTAGAACAATCTTGCAGGCTACTCAACATATCTTCTCAAGGCCTCACACACAAAAAAACTCAATCAGAAGAATCCTTGTTTGGCTAATGCATCTTAAATATGAAATGTTTTTTATTCATTCATCTTCCTCGAGAAGACAAACTTTATAGGAAAAACAATGTAATGTACTTCGGCTGAACATCTTCCAGATCTTAGCAATGAGACAAACACGAGTTTGGAATGATTTGAAGTTCTGATATTGCTCGAGTATATGTAAGAAGCGTCAGCTCAATGAGTGCAAGAACCAGATTTTTCCCTTCGTACAGGCGTGATTTGAAATTCTGTTGGTGTATACTTATAAATCTCAGTTGTACATATATACTACAATAGCAATAGCAATAGCAATGTGAGCGGTTTGTTCATTTTCAATGAAATAATAAGATATTGACCAGAATCTTGTAGTTTGTTTTCTTGGTTTAGCAATATTGTTAAAAACTATTCAAGTGGAAAGTAATTATGCATCAGTCCCAAATGAAAGACTTACACAATTGAAAGAACAGAAGGTCGTTCTACGACAAGAACTAAAGTAAAATCAAATCTAAAACAAAGGGATGTAAACCAAGAGAAAAATCGATTAGTAGGCTCATTTCATTTGTATGGTTACTATGGCTGGAGTTCATAACGTGCAAGCTAAGACAATATGAGAGAGAGCCAATAAAAAGAAAGTACGAATAGACAACTTTTACGCGAAGGCAAGCTGATAAAAAAAACCATGATTCAGTACCATATAAAGTAGAACATAGAGTTATAATTCACAACAATTTGCATAGGATTGTATTAGTAATCCATCCTAACCAATGTAAAGGGAAGCACAGTGCATTATGACATGCAGATCAACATTTTTGCACAACCCAAAGTAAACTTTTTGTATATGTGAACCGACTTGCCAAAATTTGCACTGCTATCGTCACGGAGATCACCATGACAGTGCACAACTAAAACATAAGCATTATAGCTAAAAATCTGATGTAACATATATATGGCCTATGGGGGAAAATGGTTCTAACAAATGCAAGTTTTGTGCAAATAAGGTTGCAAGATTTCACTTGGATAGAAGGTTATATGAATTTCTTGTCGATTATTTCTTCATATCCATAGAGCTCAGACCTTCTTCAGTTTTAAACTTTAAAATAGCCTTGTCAAATGTGTCTCTAACGTTCTCGCAGATAAGCATTAGATCCTGACATGAATCGTTCAATACCTCCCTTGCTGGATCTCCTGCAATAGAAGCCAGATAGACCAAAACTTAAACATAGGTCCACACTCCACAGCATTTCACAGATATAGAAGTGTATAAACATATGGAAAGACAATTGTGATTGCAATTTCTAGGCGGCTATATCAGTAAATAGGTTATACTTGCTGTAGCGATCTCTAACAAAACAATCTACTAAATAGGTCATATCATATAAAGCTAGAAGAAAAAGAGGAATTCTTAGTGGAAGGGCGTCACGATATTCCTCCAACAAAACCTTGACAAGAATCTATGTTGCTCAGACTCTCCAAAATATTTCCGCGCCCATGTCAGATCCTCCAAAAATGCATTAGTTTTGGAAGATCCGAGACACACCCGTCGACATTTTTAAGAGTCTGAGCAACATAGACAAGAATATACTGAAATACAGAATAGCTTTATATTGTTCTTTTAATCGAAAATATCAAAAAAGAAAACTTTAACTTCATTTGGAGAAACATTGTTACACGTCAACTCCCCAGTGGAATGGGCTTCTAGGAATTATGTTTGGTCTGTTGTGTACATCAGAACAAAAAAAAATAGAAATAAGATATCTTCTTAACTGGAAATACCGCACACGGATATCTCTCTATTCTTAGACTCCATAAGGAGAGAATAGTCCACTTAGGCGGGATAATAAATAAAGAGGACTACAATGTTCGTATCATACAAGTTGGAAAAAATTATAGGTAGAAGAGAGATTTCACAATTAGGTACCAATTATCAAGCATGTTACATGCATTTGGAAGCAGGATACCAATTTGAACATTAGATAAAACAAAAGTTTAAAAAAGAGCAGAAAATCCGATCCACGAATCACCCCTGCATTGCTATTGCTAGAGAAACGTTTAAGCTTTTCTTTTATAAGTTGGAGAAATCATTGATAAAGATAAGTTGGTGAAAGTTTTTAGCTTTACCAGTAGTCTGAACTCTTGTGGTCACTCGTGCATTGGAGGGATGTGGAATGCTGTATCCACAAAATGTTACTCGTGGACTGCAAGAAACTAGATACCAGTTAATCATCATCTTAAGCTTTTTGCACAAAAACACTGCTTAAAAAAAGGTGGTGGGATGGGGGGGATTGAAGACTGGACATGCAACAATAAGATTAATATGAGATCAACAGAAGGTTACAAAATGAGATACCAAGGGCCTCTATTTTACCAATCACTAAACATCAAACAAAATTATGTAATATGTAATATCATTTGAATGAGGAAATAAAGCGAACACTGAAAATATTAACTGTGATTACTGCATAATGAAAAAAGAAAAGAGAGAACTACTTACTCTTGATTTAGAGTGAATCTGGCAGCATTTGCCAGCATATGGTCTTCATCTGTCAACGAGAACGTTGCTTTAGATGGATCTTCAAATTAACCGTGTTCCATTGACTGTTCACAAAAATTATATCATTTGAAAAATAATTATCAAATCTTCGAAACTCAAAAAAAAATGAAATTTATGGATATCAGACAAAAGAAAGAGAAAAAAGAGGAACCATCATAAGAAGTGTGGTAAGAGCTATCAAATGAGTAAGAAAGCACACTTCTTTAACCTTATACAAGTTTCTCCTGATAAGTGCTTCTCTTAAGAACAGAAAATACTATATTACTTAATTATACAAACGACCAAATGATGAACAACTATGAATGTTCAACTAGTCAAAGGCTATATTCCTGATAAGTTGCCACTAATACACACTTTTAGCGGCAACGGTTATTTGTTTTAGTGGAGTTGCCACTATACTTGCTTTTAGCGGCGACGTTTATAGGAATTAGTGGCGACTTTAGTTGCCACTAATAGCTGCGACTTTTATACGAATTAGTGGCGACTTTAGTTGCCACTAATACACACTTTTAGCGGCGACTTATATTTGTTTTCACTTTTCACTAATACTTGCTTTTAGCGGCGACGTTTATAGGAATTAGTGGCGACTACAGTTGCCACTAATACTTGCTTTAGCGTCGACTTTTATTTGTTTTACTGGCGACTATAGTTGCCACTAATACTTTCTTTTAGCGGCGACTTTTATAGGAATTAGTGGCAACTTTATTTTTTTAGTGGCACTATAGTTGCCACTAATACTTACTTTTAGCAGCGACTTTTATTTCCTTTAGTGGTGGTTTTAGTTACCACTAATACTTACTTTTAGTGGTTACTCTTATTTGAGTAGTGGCTGGTTTACTTGCCACTAATACTATCTTTTAGCTGCAATAGTTTTTTTGATTTAATGGTTGTTTTAGTGTCCATTAATACAATATTTTTAGCGGCAATTGTTTTATGATTTTGTGGCTGTTTTAGTTGACACAAATAATAACTTTTAGTGACGTTTGTTATGTGAATTTGTGGCTCATTTTTGTTCCATTAAATCTTTCTTTAAGCGGCGACTAATAAGAATTAGTGGCGGTTTTCTTTTGCCACTAATACTTAGTTTTAGCGGCGTCTCTTATATTAATCAGTGGTTGTTTTAGTTGCGTTTTGCAACAATGCTTATATCAATTAGTGGCGGTTTAGTTTCCACCAACACTATCGTTTAGCGACAGCTATTCTATGATGTAGTGGCGGTTTTAGTTTCCAATAATACTAACGTTTAGCGACAACTATTCTATGATGTAGTGGTGGCTTTAGTTTCCAATAATACTAACATTTAGCAGCAACTTTTATGTGAATTAGTGGCGGTTTTAGCTGCCACTAATATTAACTTTTAGCGGCGTCCTTTTTTTTTAATTTGGTGGAAGCGGCAGCTCTTATATGTGTTTTTGCGCCTGTTTTAGTTGCCACCCACGGATTCTACCTTTAGCAACGTATTATATATATATGTAAAGGAGGTTATAATTGCCACTAATACTATTTCTTATTGTCGATTAGTATTTGTATTTGCGGCGTCTTTAGTTGCTACTAATACTATCTCTTATGGCGACTATTAGATGCATTCGTGGTGTTTAATTTGCTGCGAATACTTACTTTGTGGGGCAACGACGACTAAAGTTACTGCTAATACATCCACTTAGTAGTGACTAATTGTGGCATTCACATGGACTAAAGCTGGAGTTAATGCAAACTTTTAGCAGTGATTAATATAGCTTTTAGTGGCAACAAATGTCGCTGCTAATGCATAATTAATAGCGGCCAATACATACAACAATTCAACGTAAATTGATTGATCCAAAAACCTGAACCTTGATAGAACCATCTACAACTTGTATCTTTTAACAAGAAATGCAAAAGATAAGTCACCAGTCAATCAGGAATAACTTACTACACTTGTGGCCTAGGATTGATGCTATCTCTGAGGAAGAAGACCATATTTCTTTTTTACAATGGTTCTCTACTGTACTAGCATAAAACTGGTAGGAAAATTGTTTGGGTTAAGAACTTCCAATAAGGAGATAAGGATGCAGTCGGAAGTTTGAGTGAATGTTCATACTTAAAACATTCCGAAGAATACAATCAATCAGACTGCAAACATGCACCAAGATTCTTACATATTTCAAAGGGATCGAATAATCGGTCAGAATCATTATTTACTTCTTTTTTTACAGTTATAC